TTTGAACCTAGGCAAAAAGAGGATAGAGACAACTACGAGAGAGAGATCAGAGAATTAAAAGAATTAGAAGCCAAAAAAATGGAAACTGACCAACCTTTTGAGATTCCCAGGAAATGTTCGTCAAATTTTCAAAGATTAATCAGGGAAAAGACAATCAAAACCATAACACCTACAAACAATAGGTATAAAGCGCTCACTGACGAGTCAGAGGCCGATGCTGAGGAAGACTACGAGGACGAAATAGGGAAAATCGTCAAGAAGCGAAAGAAAAACCCTAAATTCCGGCCATTCAATCCTGAAGACACACAGGGAGCTACTAGTACTGTTAAAACTCCCCACACAGCTACTAACAAAGGCACAGACGAAAGGCAAAAATCAACATCAAATAACACTAATAATGACAAACAAAATAAAAACAAAAAATCAATGCCTCCAATAGTCATTGAAGGAAAGACGTCCAACCAAAAACAGCTTGTCACTGACATCAAGGCCCACGTGAAGGGCGATTTTAGTATTAAACATACTAACTACAATACAATTATTTTCATCGACGCAAAAGAGGACTATGATAGGCTTATATCCAACATAAAAACAGAAAAAATGTCGTATCATACATATACGGCCAATGAGGATAAATTTCATGCGTTTGTGCTTCGAGGTTTGGCAACAGGTACTAAAATCACAGACATTGAAGAAGGATTAGAGGATGACCACGAGATAAAAACAAGAGAAGTGTATCAGATGAACACGAAAGACAGGCCCCTGTTCCTGGTTGTGACGGATCCCGCGATAACCCTGGAATATCTGAACAAAAATGTACGAAGACTCCTCCACACCAGGGTTACGTGGGAGCTCAGAAAATCCGCAAAAGCAATAATACAATGTCACAATTGCCAGCAATGGGGGCATGCCACTGCAAATTGCGGCAGACCGTCACAATGTCTCAAGTGCGCGGGTGATCACCACACGCGAACATGCACCAAGACTCGTGACACTCCGGCTACGTGTGTCAATTGTGGGGGTGATCACCCCGCAAACTATTCAAAATGTAGAACGTACCTTGCCAAACTCGAAAAACTTGAAGAGCGACGACCCAGGCAGCAAGTAAAATATGTCCCCGCCCCAAAACCGCAAATCAACCAATGGGAAGCCAGGCAGCAAAATCGCAGTATGAACAATCAATTTCCGGCCCTGCCCACTAAGACTGCTAGCGAAGCAAATCAAGACAAGAAAACAACCAATGAGAGGCCAAGAATGAATGCCACCAGCGGACTATCGACCGAATTTTCAGAACTAAATAACGAGTTTGCCATACTCAACAGGTTAGTCAATATTAGTGAGCTTACTAGAGCGGTCAGAGAACTGAACGCTAAACTCAGAAATTGTAACACCGGACAACAAATAATAGAAACATATAATGCGTTCATGACGAACGTCGACGTTAATTTCAACTTAAGGAACTGAACTTGATTCAAGGAACAAACAAAAACTTAAAATTTGCTTTTACAATGCAAATGGGATGCGCACTAGAACTCATCTGGTGCGCAGTTTCATTCATAAACATAAATTTGACATCGTACTTACAGAAACTCATTACAAACAGTCAGACAAAATTAAAATACACGGGTACGACTCCATCAGACATGACAGACCGGAACAGTCATGAGGTGGAGTAGCTTTCTTTATCAAATCTAGTATTACCTTTGAACATTTAAGTAATCTTAATATTACCCAAGAACATTTAAGAATTAAAATAAATAATGTAATTTTTGTTGGGGTATACAACCCCCCTAGAAACACATTCACAAAATTAGAAATCAACTCAATAATGACCTCAGGCAACCGGGTCCTTTTACTGGGTGATTTAAATTCTAAACACCCTCACTGGGACTCAAACTGTACAAGACCCAACGTAAGTGGTAAAATCTGGACGAATTCGCCGAAGACAATGACATAATTATCCATTACCCTGAAGATCCCACCTATTATCCCGCCAGCCCTTATTATACCCCCTCCACAATTGACATAGCGGCTGCCAAAAATGTACCGAACGTGGAGAACATCAGGACAATTAAGACACTTAACTCTGATCACGATCCTGTGTACTTGTAGATTGGGACTACATGCCTAATATCAAGGATACAGGGTCGTTATTATGACTACAAAACAACTGACTGGACGAAATACCGAAAAACACTCGACGAAAACATCAACATTAACAACAACATTACTGACATAGGATCTCTTGAGGAAGAAGTAAATCTCCTCACAAAGTCAATATTAGATGCGAGAAACAAATCAACTAAACTCATCACACATCAGCCATTTAAAGATGATCTTCCTCAAGAGATCCTCGATCTCATTACTAACAAAAACCGTATTAGAAGACGCTGGCAGTCGCAAAGACAAGCCGCAGACAGGGTCATGATGCTAGAACTCGCCAAAGCCATCAACACCGAAATCAGTAATTTTAGAAACTTAAAATGGCGTAAGACCCTGGAGGCGGTTAACACAAAAGACAACTCAGTGTGGAAAATTGTGAGGCAGTATAGAAAACCGTTTTCGCAGCTTCCCACACTGAAACAAAATAACAACGTATACACAACAGACGAACAAAAATGTACGGCATTCGGTGAATTTTTCCAGAATAATTTTATAAATTCACAGGCCAATAACCAAGAGCAAAATGATATCACAGACATCGTAAACGATATTAAACAAATCCCCAAGCTAAAAGTTCCCCCGGAACAATTAACTACCCCCAAAGAGATCATTGAAATAATTAAAAAATCACCCAGTAAAAGAGCCCCAGGGCCAGACGAAATCCACAATAAGTTGCTTAAAAATGTATCTATGAAAACTATAGTACAAATTCATTACATAATAAATTCCATTATGAAACTTCAGTGGTATCCGGACGCATTAAAAGTTGCTAATGTGGTCCCGATACACAAACATGGTAAGAATAGATTCGATATAGGCAGTTACCGCCCCATATCTCTTCTAAATGGCTTAGCCAAAATTACTGATCGTGTGCTGCTCACGAGGCTACACATTTACGAACAAAACACACCGATTATACCATCAGAACAGTACGGTTTCAAAGCCGGCCATAGTACTGTTGCTCAAGTAATTCGAATAGCTCAACATGCGAAAAATGCATTTAATCAAAACAAACACACTGTACTAGTAGCACTCGACGCTGCTAAGGCCTTTGATACCGTCTGGACTGACGGATTAATCCACAAAATGTTTATGAATGACTACCCTGTTTTCATTGTCAAAACAATTCAAACATACCTACAAGACCGTAAATTCTACATTAAAATCCATAATACGCGTAAAGGACCATACAATGCGGAAGCGGGAGTACCTCAGGGTTCGGTACTTGCGCCGCATCTGTACACTATCATGACCCATGATTTTCCCATGGGGCATAATGGTGTCCAGACGGCCCTGTACGCCGACGACACTTGTGTCTACAAATCATCGGACACAGCAGAGATTGCGACCAGGAGACTGGACATCCATGTTAATAGAACCATAATACCCTATTTCAAGGCCAATAAAATTAACATAAACGCTGCCAAAACAGAAAGTCTGATTCTTGCTAAAAAAAGGGTAGACAGCAAAATAATAAATAAACTCAAGGTACAAAATCAAATAATAGAAACCAAAACCACCATGAAATATCTTGGCTTTACCCTTGATAAGGGTCTAACATTTAAGGCACATATACTTGATAGAGTCTCCAAGGCCACAGGTGCATTTAAGTCGTTGTATCCGATGTTACATCGCAGAAGTGGCGTAACATCGGACAACAAACTTCTATTATACAGGCAGGTACTTCGGCCTATTTTAACTTACGGATGTCCAGTCTACTGTTCGATGTCTAACATTCACTTTAAAAAACTTCAAATCTTTCAAAACAAGTGTCTTCGGCTGGCGCTGGGGTGCGATCGTTACGTAAGAACAACAGACATCCATGTGCAAGCATCCATAGAAACCATCAAAGAGCATGTTATTAAACTATCAGAGAATTTTTACGACAAATGCCTCCCCCCTGAGGTGAAAAATAACATCCTAGCAATACACCAACATGATGGTATACACAGACCCCATGGATGCCTGCACAAGGCACTTTCAATCTACAGACAGGATCAAAATTAAATTCAACAATTGACATACATCCTCCTTAGCAGCGTAAACCCCACTGAATACTCAAATCACAACGTCGACTAGCAACTTTAGTCGGACGGAGGACTGCACGGTGACGTCACAGAAAAATGCGAAAATTCGTGGCTTGCCGCGATTTTAGTATTGGACGGTGATGTTGCTGTGTTGTTTTGTGATTTGAATTTTCATGCACTAAACTACCACAAGACACACTTACATACAAGGACAACCCTGTTTTTTACTAACGGTTTTTCAGGGAAGACAGACAAAATTAAAATCAACAAAAACTCATAACTGTACCATTATCGTTCTAGTAAGCTCATTAAAAATTGACTTATAATGTTGTTCTCAACAAGAAGTCTAAACTAATCAAAATTTATTAATAATAACTTTTATTTACGCGACCCTAACATCGGTCGTGGTCTCGCTCGAAGGCCACACAAAAGAGAACACTTCTCTTAAGCAGCAATGAGAAGAAATCCTTTTATTTATGTACATAGAATGTTATTATAAAAAACTACTTGTAAATATTGTAAATAAAGACCTTTTGAAATGAATGAAGATTTCTTTTAGTCTCAGATCTCTTGGTAAATATTAGAGGTCCACAATTAAAAAATAAATAATATTGCTAACTGAAATTAAGGCATTATACAAAGATGAGGAGAATATGATAGATGCATTGGATAAAAGAAATAATTCCTTTAATAAAGAATGGTGGAATTGATTATATAAATAATTACAGTTTTACGGAGATTTTTATTTTTTTATATTAGGTTTTCTCAAAAATCCCTTGTGCGTCGCACCATGTAAAAAAATATACTCACCGTTTTGCACTAATATTTCCATAAAACTATTTTTTATTTCCTCAGTCTCGAGACTAATGATATTCTTATGAAAGACTGTTTTGCATTCTTTCCAAGTTTTCTCGATTCCGTATGTCATAATATGATTAAAATTAATCTCGAATGGGTTTTCTGGATCAGGTGGACCTGAAAAACAAATATTTTTGCAATATTATTGTCAAAAACTTATAAATACAATTGGCTGTGTGTGAAAATATTAAACAAAAATAAAACCAGTACATTTTATTGGATAAAAAGGTATGATATTAAATGTTTACAGTAGTCAACTGGGAATACTTTGACCGAATTTCAACTTAAAATCGATGCAACTTTAAAATTGTCCAGAAAATAACCATAATTAAATTACGTTTGAAAAAAGGTTTGCATTGATGCATTTAACGATAGCCTTCCGCGGCAGTTTCTTTAATATTTCTCCAGTAATAGGGGCTTTCTATGAGTTTGTTTGTCTAAATTTCATTGGGAGTAACTACCCTAATTTCAAGTTGTTTTATATTATGGATCGTCTTGTTAGGAGTGTCTTGATTTTCATCTAATTGGAACGTCTTTTGTAGGTGGTCAGCAAAAATAATAGCTTCCTGTTGGTTGTATCTTGACCATTTGTTATCTGCTATTCCGACAAGAAATTTTTAACTTTTTAGTTGCCTTCCAGAGCGAATAATAAGTTTCTTTATCATATGTTAGCCATACTAGGTATCTGTTAAAGGATTCTTCTTTGTGATTTGGGATTTCTTTTCTCAGTCTTTGGGTAGCCGCATTTCTTATATTTTCATCTTCTGGTGATCTTGTCATCTGGCATTTTTTTCTTAGTTTTCTTTTTTCTGCTTCCAGTTTTCTTATCTCGACAGGATAGTTTTTTCCAGCAGTTAATCTCCTTATTTTTAGTGTTACTCCATGCAGCTTGGTGGATTTGTACAACAAACCTTACCAGTTCTTTATCTAGCTGCTCTTTCGTTATTAGTGTTATGGTTAAATAGTATCTGTAGGTTCTCCTGAAAATCTTCCTAATTAGTTTTTCAAATTGTTCGATTTTGTTTCTTTTTAAATAACATTTTTACTTAGAGTAAGGATTACTGAAGAATGGTCTGAATCCATATCAAAGTTTTCTTCTACTTGTGTATAGTTTAGTTAAATCTTCCTCAAAATAAAGGAATCCAAAAGGTCTGGAATCTTATTTGGGTCGGTGGGCCAATAGGTGAGCTTTTTAGAAAATTGGTATTTACCACTAATTTCTGATACAGCTCGGTACAATTCTTTTTCTTTGACTGTGGTTAATCTTGATACCCAGATGGTATTTTTGGAATTTTAATCTCTACCGATTATAAATTTGTTACCTAGATTTTTGAGAGCATTGTGATTTTGAGATTTTTTTTTTCTGGTTGTATCTTAGTGGGCAGTAGTTTACAGCTATTCAATCAATAAAAGTTAAAAGCTAATGGTGCTGTTTTATCGTGCTTCGCTAAAAATGAGCTAAAAAGTGGTTTTTATCGCGAGATTATCGAAAATTTTAAAAAAGTGGTAAATATAAACAGTTTCCTATCAAAAACAATCCACAACAGTCAGTGCAGTCATTGTAATTCTGTGAATAATTCACTTTTAATAACTGCATTTAACCTGTATTTATTTGAATAAGAACATATTATTTATCTGTATTTAAACGCTAATCACAACCAGTTTTTTAACATGTCTGATAAATGTCCGAATTGCAAACAAAATGTTAAATCATTAAAAAATCTTCTTTTTTTCTTTTTTTTCTTCAACGATTTCAGTCCTGTAAATTTCAAGCAAACTTATTAAATTAAAATATTTATAAAAAAGAGAAAAAAAGAATTTACAATTTAAATGGACAAATCTTAAGGTATTGTTACATCTGACATTTATTGCATGATATTTATATCTGACAGTTGTTTATTCCAGTGTAAACACTCAAAAATATATGTCCGAGAGAATGTTTGTGTGTTTACACTGGACTAAATAACTGTCAGACATAAATATCATGCAATAAATGTCAGATATAACTGTACCTTAATAATTTCATTATTAATATGTTGATATAAGAAAACTGTAACTATACGAAACAAATAGAATTGGTATTTATTACAAAGTCAAGTAAATAAAGTGAGTAACTCTAAAAATTTTAAGATATAATCGTGATTTAGGCAAAATTTTCCTTACCTGTCGGTACTTTTCCATTGGCTGTATGTAATTTCATTGATTTCATAATCACCAAGCAATAGTTCTAATTTATTTATTATATTATCAGTTCCTGGGCACTTGGTACACTTTGAAAAATAACATAATGAGGTAGATTCTTGGCAAACAGAGCTTTTAATTAAATCATTTGAACTTTCTAAAAAAATCGTTCCTTTTTTTTAATTCATTCTTAAATCCATTTAACTGTAGTTTGATATTTTGATGAATTTTACACACACATACGGTATGAGTCCCACTTTTGCCAGCCGATATGCATTCACGAGGACGGAGTTTTTGAAATTTTGTTAGTCCAATCTTTTCGTCAGGGAAAGCTTCAGTAAATTTTTTATGTAACTCATAAATATTATATAGTAATAATCGTTTTTGTTTTTGGACTTTTTTCCATCTTCCATCACCGATACATAATCTTTCATCCCAGGCATCACGCGGCTGACATCATCGGATAAATAAAAATCTTGAATGTGCTGGAGTGTTTCATTTTTCAGAGTTTTTCCTTTCTTAATTTTAGGCTGTGATGCGAATCCTCTTTCTTCCCTAATTTTTTTTGCGGTTTTGACCATTCCTTTGGAAACTTTAAATTCTCTTCTTATCATTTTTATTGACCAATCTGAAGGAAGCGTTGTCAAAATTTGAATTTTATCAGCCCTACTTGTTGTATCATTAAAAGCAGATTTAAAATTATTAAGCAATGTGTCATTTGGATTATTTACACTATTTACATTACTGTTATTATTAGTTATTTTACTCACAGCACTTTTTAAAACTTTTGCACATTCTGTGGCATTTGACATTCGCATGACTTTTATTGGATGTTCGCCAATTTCCAATAATAATTTAATAACCTTATTAATTTTTAACTTGTTATCTACCAAGTTGCATGCAAAAGAAGGGTCTTTTTTTTCATCATCTTCAATAAAAGTGTTTGACGATTCAGGCTCGTTGGAATCAGAACATTTGTTGACCGATATCTCACCAGGAATTTCAGGTTTTCGACCCAAATAAATTGCTCGTTCACATGAATTACACATATAATTCCCAATAAAATCTTTAAAAGCATAAGCGCGTTTTCTTTCAATTAAAACTAGATTTTTAATATTTTTTTTTATGTTTTTTTTTTTATTAAACGGATTACAGCACTTATTCACGCGGCCCATAATAGATAAACAAAATTATAAACGTCAATAAAATTCAAAACACCAATACAATTTGAAACAAATTTGAAACAAACCAACTAGATTTAGATCAATGGAAACTGTTAAGCACAAATTTATTAAATAAAAATTCTTATCTTTAAAATTTATTCACTGATGTGTTTATAAACGGATTTAACAAGTAAACTCAAATGGCTTGTGATATTCTTTTGTTATTCATGTGTATATATAAAAAAAATTGTAATTTGTTTCAATAAAATCATTTATTAAATAACGTTACTGAGTCGATTTATAGGTAAGTCAATGACGCGTGGTAGCGCGCTGAACCGACAGCGCTCGGCGCCCCTCATTAATAATTTTTTTTTGTTTAATCTAATCGCGAGCAGTCAAATTTTTTTGCGGATTCTGTTACTTGAATGTTTAATGCATAAGACCGAAAACAAAATTTCGTTTTTTGAGGGAGAAGTCATTAAAATTTTCATTTGTTAACTTAAAAGTTAATTAGCAATATGAAAATAAATAAATATTTTAAACTCTTGTACATTTTATCAAAATACAAGTATTGACCTATTAATCTTAAAAGTTTCATTAGAATATTTTTAATAGTTTTTTAATTATCGATTTTTTAAATAAATGTCATAAAAATTTTTATTAATACAAAAATTGTTAAAATGAAAATTTTTAAAAACTGTTTTGGGTATTAATTGTTTATAGTGAATACCTTATGAAAAAATACTGATACCTGAATTCGATGATCAAGTAGAAAATGGGGGGGTCCACTTGACGTGATTTAACTCATATATTACACAATAAAAGATATCAATAAAAATTTTAAACAGGCGAACAGGAACCGCAAACTTATTATTTGAAAACATTTGTAAAGCTATTTTATATATTATAACAGGGAGTAGGTTTGTTAACGAATTAGTAAATGTTTAACTCAATGTTAATTTAATAAAATATAACAGGATAATATTTATAATATTTGCCATTTGCATGTTTTAAATATAAACTATTTAATATTTATTTGCGTTTTATTTTTTTATAAATATGACATTTTGGTCTTAAATATATTAATTGATACATAAATTAAAAATGTTATATTTTCCAAATATGGCCCATGCATGTTTCGTCGCCGGCATACTGTACGTCAAGACCGAACAATTCGTGCGGTCCCCACTACTGCTTAGAGAAATGGTCTCGCAGATATCAAAGGCGCCGATAGAGAGTGTCGGGGCTAATGGTTATATTACTTTTTTAATGTTAATCAATGCTAATTATTAGTTATTAAATATGTTGCTATTAAATTACGCTTTTTATTCTTCTGCACTTAGTGTCGCCTAAATAAAACATTTTTTTGGTTTTTGCTTGAACGTAGAAAAAATATTGTATGCAACTCGTGCAAAAAGTGTTTATTGCACTCGACGTTTTGTAATACACTAAAGTGACTTATATCAAAAATGTATGTATTTTCTCCAAAATTTTGATTCAAATGTCTATTTGATTGGACTATTATACAATTTTCAAATTTACAAATTTTGTTTTTTAACATTATATAAAATATTAAATTGTTACTTGGGATCTCTTAAAAGATATATCTCATGAAAAACTTACCCTTAACATAATCTTTTCTAGGTGGTTCACAAATGTACCCATATTTTACATTTGGTGGTTCATCCCACCAGAATAAATCTTTTCCATCATGTTTTAACGAAAGTTGTAAACTAAGTGGTACATCAAATTGGTGCGAATTATCAGGTCTGCCTTTGCTAAAATGTCTGAAGGATAGCCTTTCGTCATTCAACCATCGAAATTCGGCGTTATCAGCTTCTACTCCAGCCTTATTTCTTCTGCCTCCTCCGATATAATACTGTGTCGTATCATCTAAATTATATATTTTTTTAATGTTGATATAAAAATCTATCAAATAGAAATCGTATTCAGGCTCAATAATTTAAAAAAAAATAAGTGATAAAGGACCCCGCACTTTTTACATTGATTTTGAGTACTGTCAGAATTTGTTCAATATTTAGTATGTTACTTTTTAGGTCATCATGGGCAACATTTTATGGACCTCAAGTTTGCAGCTATAAGAAGCTGTTAGAAGGAGCCAAAAATAAGGAGTGCAGAAAAAATATTGTCACATATATCTATACTTCTATATAGTTTGTTAATGCTTACTTATACTATGTAAAATAAATAATACAGAGTGTTCCAAAAATAGGAATATTAATTACTAAAATAAGGTTCATTGTCATCTATTACCATAATTAGAATATGACTTTTGATCACTTATGCTACATTACATTCTAGATAATATTTATTAATAATACAGGATGTAACGGAAATACAAATAATATTTATTACAAAAATATAACAGTTTCTTTACATAGATTTGTAGACTTTCCACTAAACCATAAATCAGTACAAAAGAAACTGCATTTTTAAAAACCCGTTCTATTACATACATGAACTATTTACAAACTCATCTGTCAAGCAACATCTCAAATAGTCCATAATAAAAAAATTGAAGTGTAAATACTTTATATAATATTCTAGGTAGCAAAAAACAATTGAAATATTCTTGATCCAGACTTACATGTATAGTAATTTCTAGTAATGGGATTTCATGTAATCTATAAATAACATCTCAAATCTAGAATATATTGCAAAAAAATAAAAGAATGCCACATAGAAAGTTTCCTAACAAAACTAAACTACCTACTATCAAAAAATTGCTAATAGCAAAACTTTTAAAAAAACTTCTGCTAATACAGCTCAAAAAATAAGAAAAAAATATACAGTGTATAATTAAATGTAGTCTGAAATTGCAAAGATTACAACTCTGGCTGTTAACCCTTTAATGATAATTTAGGTGTTAGTTAATTTATCACTTTAGCTCATAGACTGTTTTTGTAATTATTCTGACTAAAACAAAGAAATAAAAATATATTATGTCAAAAGCTCAGAAAATTATCTAAAGAGAAATAAAAATATCTAGTGGTGTGGAAAAGCTTAAAAATTAGAACTGGCCAAAATTAAATATCAGTAGCCTTATCACGAAGTTTTTTAATGAAGTACTACTGCAAAAACTGTATAAGGTTTTTTATGAGGTTTTACTTTAACTAAATTAAACCTACTCAATCTACAAAAATAGAATTATATTTATAAGTAAAGTGATAAGCTGACATCTGTACTGAAGATAAAAATCAGAAAGTGCTTTTTAATTAGAATATGTTTGTTCAGTCATTCATAAGTCAGAATTAGTAAACTTATTTCTACATTTAAGTAGAGGCATTACAAAACTGAATTCGTTTCAAGATTTTGTAGAATATTTTAGGTATACCAAGTTTTTCGTTAAATGTGCTTCTGAAATTCTAAGTTGTTTATATAGTTCAATTGCACCATGTATTACTTATTAAAATTATTTGGTGTGATGTGAAACCAAAAAGAAATGGTCAGAAGTCGTATTCTAACTATTGTATAACATGACAAATGCACCATATTTTAGTAACTGATGTTCCTAATTTTTTTGACACGCTGTATGATTTATTTTGCAAAGTGTAAGTAAAGGTAAGTAAGCATGAACAATCTACATACACGTGTAACACACGACATGAGTGTCATGGAAAAAACAATAATTACTTAAGAGTGGTGGAGATATATTTGAAAATATTAATTATCCACCCTTACTTTTGAATCCTTCTAACAGCTCACTCTGTAGATCTGCGAAATTAGGATCCATAATAAATTTGCCTTTCAAGACTTCAAAAATAACATAATATAATTTTAACAAATTCTGATAGTACCCAAAATCAATACAAAATGTGCGGGGGCCTTTCTTTGGTTTCCGAAACTCTCAAAGAGTTTATTTTCAAATGAACGCCATAAAGTGGGAGAAATACCCCAAGTCCTCTGACAAAAGAGTATCACATATTTAGTTACAGTTTGCACGTATCTTCTTATTTCAGTTGCGCCTTGTTGTTGCTTAACAGCGTAAAATTTATTAAGGTGCGTTTACACGAACACAAGAAGTCACTTTAAAAAAATTGAGGTTACGTTTTAAATTTTGTCTACAAATACTATACTCTGTTTTTAAACTAGGAGGAGCGAATTGAAAAGACGAAGTAACTAGATTCGTTACAAAGCGTATGTTCCGAAATACAGTCGTGTTCAAAATTTATGTATTATTTGTTTTTATCAGCCCTAAGCCAACAAGGAGTTAAGGAACAAATAAATATCATAGAAGTCGATGTTTTAATTGGTTCCAGACAGCGCGTCGTAAATTTCACATTTTTGTGTACTGAAAAGTGTGTCTAAAACAAACTGTCACTGTCTAATGAAATTTAATATTAGGCATTCTAAACAAAATGGCTGATCATTTGAAATGACAGGTCACTGACAGGCACAATACATGTAATAATATGGCAACACTGTGAGCCTGGTGATGTGATAGGGTCAGTGATATAGACAGTTATATAGTTATAGTTATATAAATTGATTATCCACGGTTTTAAAAATAAACATAAGCTCATGCCTTGAAGTAAAAATGTAAGCAATTATTGTTTTTAAATATTTAAAATTGGTTTTAAAACTCATTTTTGCTAAATCGATGCAAATTAATAAATACTTGCCGGGCAATATGGCCTCTCGCAAACGACCCGCTTTGAGCGATCTATATAAATTTCTTAGTGCTGTTTCTAAAGCGGCGTTGGGAAACGGTAGCAAGGCATGTCTGTAGGGGTGCAGGAGTAATATAGTACTACACTCCTGCACTATGGAGTATTAGACTGCTAGTACAATTCATAATTTACATAGAACACAAGGCTAATGACCTAAGTTGTCGAAGCCAAAGACACCAATGAAAAAAAAATTATTTTGGTAACTGCCACCTGACATGATGTAATTAATCTGTCCATTTTACATTTAAACAATTAAGAAAGCGAATGGACTTGGGGTATTTCTGAGACTTTATATAAATAAAAAATAAACTTACGTTTCGACCCAAGTAAACACTTAAGTGCATTATGCTTATATTCCTCGTCAACGATGGCAAGTTTCATATTCATATCAGCGCATTTTTGATTGGCAAATCCTATATTACCCTACAATAATATTTTTAATATACTTACTACCCACTAAGGAATAATAAATTATGTAGTCCAGGTATGGATTTTCAAAAATTTTATTAGTCAAATTTAAATAACGTTTTTAACTTAGTACATAATAAATTTCTTGTCTGAATCTGTAAGGTTAGGTCTTCCACATAGAAGGGAGCTAAGAAAATTAGGTTTATGCATAGAGGAAGGTATCACCCCCAAAAACCCAGTAGACCTTATAATATATGGGAAAACTCTTGGAAAAACAAATAAATAAACAAAATAAAGAAAATAAAAAGAACAAGAAGATAGAGAAGCAAAAGCAAATGCTGAAATACGATCCTCTCATTGGATGATATAAAAATAGGTTAAACTTTGAGCATATAGGTAATCAACAGTATAAGCATAAAAGTAAAAGTTTCTTTTTTCTTCTATATGAATAAAATTTAACTGAGCCGATATCCTATGTACAGGACACGTAACTGGATTGTTCAGAAAATTTTCTGCATTGTAAAATATATTGTAAAATTGGAAATCGTTGCTTTAATTGACCGAAACATCTTTCACTGTTTCCTCTTTCTTTGGTATATTTTTGGTATATGAGCTTACTACTGCGTTATTAATAAAGTCTTTATAGGTATAATAGGTACAATATCCTTTATATCCTAAGAGTAGAGTTTGATTGTTTTGAATATTGTTCTGTGTAATCTCGTAAATTCGTAAATTGCACCATATTCGGGCATCCTGAACAGATTCGGTATATGATGCATCTATACTTGCATCTTAATTGCATAAGACATTAATGCTAGGAGTATTTATCTCCATGATCATGGGGCTTCTTGATCCTTACGTGAGTACAATCAATGTCGACTTTGGCATTTTTTTTTTTGGTCATATGTATATTTGCAGCACTCGAAGAAAATTTTATCCATAACACATGTCATAACGTTTGAAATAGAAGATTAAACGACTCCATATTTTTTTCTATTCCAGATTAAAAACTCAGGACTGCAACATGCCTCAAGAATGTTTTTAGTAGACCAACTTAACATATGGCACGGCCTCTTTTTCATGTAACTATGCGCCTATAGAAATGGTTCGACATCCACTCTATCATTTCTTTAAAAAACGATAAAACACTTTACAATCATCGATGCAAGTTCTATTTCTGTGTTAATAATATTTCATTCCCTGCAAATTTGTAAACTTTTATGCTGCGAAACTGAAACTAAGTTTTCCTCGAGAAAGGAAGTAGCAACTAAGACTCGTAAGTAAAAACTCATTTATATTCAAACGAAAACTGAGTTTAGGATCACTTTAAATTATTTGTAGGAGTACCTACTTATGATGAGCTACTACCTTTAGTTATTATCCCCACAGATTTTAGTATTTACTTCAGAATATTTAGCATAACTGCATGCTTGGTTTTATCTACGGCGACAAGAGATATTTTTTTTTAGTTGGTAGGCGACGAAAGGATACCAAGGACCATCGTGCCCGTTCATCTAGAATCCAATATTCCCAGTGTCTTCCTAAACATATTTTGCATCTGGAAAAAATACCTCACAAGGCCCATTTTGCATACTACCGAATTGGTAGCTAGTCAACCAACCTGCAGATGTAATATAGTTAACGTCTCTGATTGGTACCACTCTTACGTCGACTTGCAAAGACAAGATTTGCCAAATTGATATCTCTTGATATATGAGGTTATCGGGCCATCATATTATTAGCACGAAATGCAAATATCTTTTTGTTAATCTAAGCTACGTATCGTTTACCACTTTTGATTTTTTTAATCATTATATTCTTATTTACACCATTTGAATAATGTGGAGTATGATAGAGAAGGTATCTTTGTATATGGCTTCTCGGCTAACAATCAACTTTCGATTTTCGTGATATAGAGGTATTTTACTACTTTGAAATGATCACGCAGAGATTTTGTCGAGCCATAATCAGGTATTATTTGATTGCTGTAGTATTGTCAGTATAAACTAGAATCTTCGTAACAACTCTGGAGCTTCTTGTTTTATTTATCTTAGGTTTCATTGAACTTTCTTTTCTTTTACATCTCTGCTCTTGCATTCTAGTTATGTGGCCCTGTCATCTGAATCATTGTGCTCTAATTTTTCTTGTTAATTTCGGTCTTCCATACAGGTTCATCAATTCTTTATTTGTAAGTCTTCTCTTCTCCCCTTTTGCTACTTTATTTTTTCTATAAAATTTTCTTAATACTTTTTTCTAATTATGTTGTATCATGGTCTATGTTTCAAATTTGAATTTTCTTGTATATTTCTTCTGGCATGTAAGATTTTTGCAATCGACACTATTGCTTTACTTCCTTCCCAATTTATTTAAAATAGCCACTCCTAAATACTCAATATCTTCTACTCTTTCAAATTTGTATTCTTTATTTTGTGTTAATGGTATTTTTTCTTGCTCTGCTACATCGTTTCTCATTTCCGTATATTTGGTTTTGCCTTCATTATTTCTAACTACTTTCTTGATCTTCTCAGGAGTATGACATCATCTTTTAGGTACATATCTAGGTATTATATTACATTTAAGACTTCAGTAGAAAGTAAAACAAGAAAAGGCTTAGATATAAAATTAAATTAAATGTAATTGGTAGGCACTCTAGCATATCTACATATTTTAAAATTCGCAGTTTACAAACTTTGTCATATTTGTTATAAATTCAGTAACCAGCTTGACTTATTTTATAGTAGCTTTACATGTATACATAATGTCTGTCTTAAATAAACTCTGTATTTTTTTCTTTATTCTTTTTTTCATTTATTATGTTCAACTGAATATTTACAATATTTTTCTTTGTGCACTTTCTTGTATATTGTGATTATTCCCATTCTGTAATTGGTTTCTGTTGAGTGGTGTAGAAATAAATAAATAAAATTCTTCATCACAAAAAAGTACTCATACCAGTGAGAACTTAGTTTATTTTAGCAACAGTAATATTCCAATAATCCAGAGAGTCCAGAATAAAGTACCAAGAAACAATGTCAATACTCCTTGGTTTAAGAGAAACAGCGACCTCCGTCGAGATCTTCAGGTGGACACTGTTCATGACACTATCACCAAATTTGCTGGGATTTAGAAACAACGACTATACCAATATGTAAACAAAAGAAAATAAAACCTTTTGAATGAAACCAGAAATAATTAGCGCAACTAATTTTTTGAATAATTTGAAAATTGGGAAACAAATTTCAAAAATCCCCTGCAAATTATTAAGACCATCCCCGAACTCATAAAATGAAAACAAATACTTTGATATTTGAAAAAAGTCTGCTGTGGTCGGGGATCAAACCCAGTCATATGTGTATTCTAGACAAGTGTCCCTCCCGCTAGACCATCCACGAGAGTGACTTAAGACTGCGTTTAGGTTCACTCTGGCTGTCTGGCCTGAACCAGCACATCAAACTTTTTTCTTGGAACCTCTACAGTTACTGTCGTGGATGGTTAGTGGAAGGGGCAATTGTCTAGCATATAAGGATGTCTGGATTCGATCGCCGGTTGCGGAAGGTTTTATTTTCAAATTTCCAAGTATTTGTTTTCACCTTAGGGGTTCGAGGACAGTCTGAATAACTCGTAGGGGGATTTTTAAGATTTGTTTCCGAATTTGCAAATGATTCAACAACTTATTGCAGATATTTTGTTTTATATAGTAGAACCAGAACTACACATTTTATTGATAAAATAATCTGATAATTTGAATTTCCGTGATGATTTGTATTTACTGAATCTACCCTATTAAGTACGAACATTTCCCAGGGATAAAATTGTATGGAGACATTCCAACGATCTGCCAAACAATAGCTGCTAGTGGGAAAGTCTCGTACGTCAAAAGGGGTTGCGACATAGTATTCCATCATAGACGCTATTTTTATTCGATATAGTATTTGCCAAGTCTACCAATTTATAAAAAGTATAGGCGGTTTTTTTTTAAATAATACTTTCATTGTGTTCGACATAACATATTTAAATTTAATCCATTATTTATGATTTTACGTTTTAAGTGTCAGAATATATTTTTAATTCAGAGAAGTGCGTATTTATTACGGACAAGTTTCGCATCTGTATTTTTAAGTCCTCGCATACTTTAAAAACATTTTTTGTTGATCACTGTTAAATTTATATATTAACTTACCATATCTTGTGAAAAATACAGGCTGCTGAGGAAATTTTTGTCATCTGAAATTATATTTATTTAAAAAGTAGTAAAGTATATAAAAACAAAATAAATAAAAAATATTGAAATACCGTGTATTCTTTTAAGATAATAGCTCCCCATTTTACTTAATTTATTATTTTTTAATTACAGAAAAGTCAAAAGTAACTAAGTATGTTATAATATATTCTTTATCCAGTACTTTAAGTTTATTTAAACTAAATTAAATTGGTATGGGGAGTAAATTATTTAATGTTTACTATAATTAGAGTATTGGATGATTTTGTATTTAGAGATAATGCGGAAACAACAATATTAAATATATGTTGGTATCTAAACAAAAATAGTACAAATTGGCGTGTAAACAATAAGTATCTATTGGGACAATATTAATCCCTTAACTTACCAAAGCATGTATCTCTTTTCCCGCAGGTTTTTTCTTCACCTATAACCAAAATGGACACAATGAGTGATAAGAAAAATAAATATATTTTGTAACTACATCAATTTAAGAAAATTCAGAAATACTAGAACCAATAAAAATATCTACATTTAAGAATAAGGCCCAGTATTTTTACCTACAGATAAAGCAAATACTGAAAAATTATAGAAAATACCGTACTTCCAACACTACATACCAGAGCCGTATTTTGAATCTCTCTGTAGATATCAAAGTTTTCTTGGCACTATTTTAATAAGCACTAAACTACGCAACATTTTTCTAAGTAACCGACATTTTTTCTGTTATCGCTTAAGAAATAGCAATACGGTCCCTATGAAATAGTAGAGGTACTGTATAGGATAAATATAAAAATATTCTTATTGCAGTTTATTCTTACCTTGACAAGCAACATAGTGATTCTGCATACACCCGGTACTAGTCCATTTTAAATCGTCTGATGTTGGATCATACCAAACTTTTACACATTTCTCGTTGTCCTTTTTACTAGGTTGACCTGATCCCCAGTATGCGGTATCTGATGTAATATTAGTACCGGCCCACGTATATGGAGATTTTGCATTTTCCCTAAATGCATTAATATAGTATTCTTGTCTATCGTCTGAAAACAATCATATTACTTAACACACAAATTCTAAGGGAAACAAAACAATAATACAAAAACGTTTTGCCGTCTTAAAAAAATATCGAATATCATTTGTAATTATTCTACTACTTTACTCGGACAAAATATTGAAAAAGGTGATTCCTTCCTGTTCACGTTCAACAATCATACTATACCAAAGCATAATGAATGGAATCACGCGCTTAAAACTGCAGAAGTTTTCGGTATTACGTGCCAACTAGTCCTAAATGCATGTTTATTGCCAAAATAAATTACGCCAGTGGCGTATAAAAACTATTGGCAAATTAAATGAGGTACTAGTAAATAATATTATATGAAAGTAGGTTGGTTATCTATTTTTGTAGTAATAATTATTTGTTTATAATTTTGTTTTGTTTATTGTTAAAATATGTAAATATTATGCCAATGGCGTAGAAACACTATTAAAAAATTAAATGGGGCATTATAGTAGAACAAAATATTGAAGAAGGTGCGCCTTAAAACTGCAAAAGGTATCGTTTTCATATCAAAATGCACTCTTCCAGTGTCGCAGAAATACTATATTGGCAAATTAAATAAGTATTTGTGAATATTACTAAATGAAAGTAGGTTTGTTATCTATTTTTGTTATAATAATTCATCTATGTATATAATTGTATTTTGTTAATTATAAAAATATGTAAATTAAGCTCTTGGTATCTCTTACTTGAATTCTAAATCTATGAAGTTTCGTAATCCATTGATTCTGCAGAACTATCACTGGAATCGTCTTTATCGTCGGAACTTAAAGTTATGACTAAAGGTTCAACTACCGTTTCGATCATACCGTCCAAGCGCCATATATTATTTTCATCCTTAATTACATGGGAAATAGCATTCGGCTTATCTTTAGGATACCGGTTTTTAATAAACTCTGAATGTCGGCTATTTTAAAAGTTTTATTTTCTCGAGCTACAAACCCTTTCACTTGCGCCCAAATTAGTTCAAAAGGACTGAATTCGCAGTGATAAGGGGGAAGTCTTAATACCGTAATACCACGATCACGAGCCATTGTGTCGACAACATACTGAATATATTTATGGCGGTGTTCCTTTATTAGGTCCATTAATTTCACTTCAAGCATCTCCTCAGTAAATGTTATTGCTTTATCCCGCAGCCAGGTTTGCATATCCGCTTTCCTACTGGACATTGGAATGCGTTCAACTCGTCGACTGTGATAAGAAGCGTTATTTAGTACAATAACTGAATTTCGTTCTACACGCTGTAATTCTTTAGTAAACTATTTTTCAAAACATTATGCATTTACGTCCTCGTGGTAGTCTCCTTTTTTTTTTCGATATAAACACAAGAGCGCTATTTTCCAATTCTTGGGTAACAATTAGGCGCTGTCCTTTACCTGATGGTGTTTTTAAATCTGTAGATAATCCCTCTATAAAAGCTTGACGATGACTAGTTACAGAACTATCTTGCCATATCTTAGATACCGTGTATCCAGCATTCACCCACGTTTGATCGAGATAGTATACCTTTTTCTTGGGGCTCTAAACTCTTTAATATTTCGTAAATAACGCCGACGCCAGGACACTATATCTGACCTCTCAATTAAAATTGATTTCCTACACCGTTTGACAAAACGAAATTTTAGACCCCCTAAAATTTTTCGTAAAGTTTCACGGCTCATTAATGGAATTTCTTCGTTTTTTCTTAATTTCGTAAGAACAATTTTAAGTGTTGGGACTTTGTTTTCAAAAAAAAAGTACAGTTCTTCGAATGATTTGTTTTTGGTTATCGTCCAATTTCAACAATTTTCGACCGCGGGTATGCGTTTTAGGGGCTTCTAAGGAGCTTTTTTTTGTCTTTTCGCGTACAATACGTTAAATTGTTGAAATAGATATTTCAGTTAAAAAAGAACTGCGGTTTACAGCTTCATTTGTAAGAAGTGTCTGTTTCAGCCCATCATACATTTTCCATATAATGTTCTTTTCATCCTTTGATAAGGGCTTTCGCCGACGTAATTGGGTTTTACTTGGACCCGCCTCTGAATCCATTACTATTGTAATAATATAATTCTACTATTAAATTGTTTTTATTAAATTTATAAAGACACCAATATTTTACAGTTTAATAAACTTTTAAAGTACCTACCTAATATACTACACAATAAATATAACTCCTCGAATATGCACTACCACTACCAAATTGTAAGGCACAAACATGAACACCTACTCGTATATCAGAAAAGAGCACTTATACAAAAATGTGTTTATAAAATAAAAAATAATTATCGTAAATAGTTAAAGCGATACAAATCTAACTTCGTTGAAAGTTTGTTTTCAACTGTCTGTGTGCCTGTGCTGACAATATTCAATCTTTAACTCGTCTGTCGTTTATTTACTTGAAACACATTTTAAAACCATTAAACAGAGATAACGAAGTCATTAGGGAATAAATATATTCATTTCTTGAAAATTATCAAAAATTATAATTAACGCATCATCTTTGTTTAAATAAAAATGTTGACAAACAAATTTAATAAAGTTTACTAACAAATACCTAATAAATAATAAATAATTATTTGGTATTTGATACGCCGCCTATGCTGACTCTGTCGGAATTTTCATTCATAGACAACATTGTTAATCATGCATATGACTCACCTTCTCCAGTATTTTGTCCGAGTATAGGTGTTTCATTTTTATTGTAATTGAAGCCATGTTGTACGATGTAAGTTGTTTTACTATTAGAGAAAATATTACTTCTCCATGAAACAATTCCTGTTTTAGTATAGTCTATGTTGCTTCTCTTTCGGGTGTTTAATTATTTTAAGCTTAGGGACACTATGCATGTATCAAATAACGTACTAGACGTGATTTCGAATTGATACATATACTTTCTGAAAACTACGTGTTGGTTGTTATACAAAAATAATATTCTGTTTGTTTAGTATATGGAGAATGGCCTTCTAGCAAGCTGAGTCGGTTATTCTTCATATTACTGTCAACAATATATATGTGTATTTTTAAGACCGATTGAAACCAATAACATCCAGTAAAGATTAGTTATATAATAGCACTCGACTAATAAGCATCATTATAATTACGGCTCTCTTTTAATAAATGAACTATAAAGGATATTCACTGTGTGTTTAATATAAGGACCTTTCATACCTTCCAACACTACGGGTTAAATTACATGTGGAAATGTTGCTAGTTCTTCATTATTCCCAAATAATTTTTTTTGTATATTTTTTGTATTTTTTTTTTTTAAAATAATGTTTTAAGTGTTGTATAGTGCATATTGTCAGATTGGTAATAAAATTATCCATCTAAAGGCGAAGTGGCCCTCAATAGATTCCAGTTAAAATTTTTAAAAATTTATTTTTTATCAGAAGTATTTATTTTTAACTCAAATGGTAAAATTAAGAGTTATTAGAGGCTATTAAAACATTATTTTGCGGTTCATGACTTTCTAACTAAAAAAATAAGAAAAAAATGGGGAAAAAGAAAATTTAGCAACACTGTCATATATAATTTGAAAAGGAGATTACAAAAAGAGAACAACATAATTAAGCCTAACGGCATTTTCGGTAAAACCGAAAGTCAGCCATTTTGTTTAAATGTAAGTGTCAATTGGAAATTATGTCTCGTAGAATTGTCCAAAATTTAATGCAAATCGCTTTATAATAATTGAAAGAGTAATTATTGTGGCCCTGGTCTCATTCTCATTCTGTATACATAAACCCATGTAGTCTAATCAACAAGTTCAAAAGCGTGCTTTTGGGACATACTCTTACGAAAATTATGTGCAATAGCTCATTCGATTCGGAATAATGTCTAGATAAATGTGTAGAGAATAATTTTACAGTGCATAAAAAATTGCAAAAGTTATAAACAATTAAACACATCAAAAACATGGTGTTTGGTTTTTCGCCTATAGTTTGTAAAGTATAAATATTTTTGGATTTTTCAAAAAAGATCCTTAAAGAGAAGGAAATTTGCTATAAATAAGTTTCGACTCCCAGAACTGTACCTCCATTATTTATAATTTTAATTTAACGCTCAAAGTAGCCTTCCGTGCGCCATTTTTAGGTTGCGCGCACGGCGTCGAAACCGAGTACGTTACATAAAATAATTTTTTTAAGTTAATAAAATTAAATTCAAAAATTTTAAAAAATTATGGTGTATTATAAACACTTACAGGAATTCATTCCTGTTGGAATTTTTTATAAAAATTAATTTTCCAACAAAGTAGGTTATTGTTAATTAACAAAATTTTTAGAATTTCATCATTACAAATAAATAAAAAGATTAAATAATTTCCGTAATTTTTTTTTGCTTCTTGGAGCTCTTTTTAAATGCATATAAAACAAAATAGCTTCGTAAAAGTTTAAAAAATGTTAATACTTTGTTTATAATAATTTTTTAAAGTTTACAAAAACAGAAAAGTCACAATGGTGCTATAAATTTATTCAATTTATTATAATATTACTGTTTTAATGTAGATAATTGCCAATTATGATTTAAAAAAAAAAAAATTTTTTTCTTAATAATAACTTTTAATTGTTTATAATCGTTTTTTTAATATATCTATTGCTTAAATTATTAGTTAAGAAATGTGTGTTTTTTTTTAAATCATAATTGACAGTCCTCTACAAACTTTGAAAATATACGTACTATCAAAGTTGCAGCAGCTGATCCATTTGTTGACTTAAAAGTTGATATAACTTTTAAACTATTGAAGATACGACAATAAACATTCAATTAATTTTTGTAGGCAATGAAATTATCTCTTAAATAAGTAATTTGTCAATTCGGTACCTATTGTCAATTTGTTGTTTTTATATTTGTTTATAAAAATTGATTTTTTTTTAAGTTTAATAAAAAATGGAATAACATTTTTTCCGTAATTTTAATGCACTAAGTCGTTTTTGTAATTTTTTTATTTCTTTCAGAAAAAATAAACCAAAGTTGGGAATTTGTTTATAACAAATTTGTTAA